CATCCCAAAGGAGTTCAGTACTGATGTTGGATGAGAACACTGATGTTATAAGGTCTTCTCATCCGACATCAGTAGTTGACCTCCACCCTATTCTTGGATGAGCTCTGTTATAAGGTCTTCTCATCCGACATCAGTAGTTGACCTCCACCCTACTCTTGGATGAGCTCTGTTATAAGGTCTTCTCATCCGACATCAGTAGTTGACCTCCACCCTACTATTGGAAGTCCTCTGTTATAAGGTCTTCTCATCCGACATCCGTAGTTGACCTCCACCTTACTCTTGGATGAGCTCTGTTATAAGGTCTTCTCATCCGACATCCGTAGTTGACCTCCACCTTACTCTTGGATGAGCTCTGTTATAAGGTCTTCTCATCCGACATCAGTAGTTGACCTCCACCTTACTCTTGGATGAGCTCTGTTATAAGGTCTTCTCATCCGACATCAGTAGTTGACCTCCACCCTACTCTTGGATGAGCTCTGTTATAAGGTCTTCTCATTCGACATCCGTAGTTGACCTCCACCTTACTCTTGGATGAGCTCTGTTATAAGGTCTTCTCATCCGACATCAGTAGTTGACCTCCACCCTACTATTGGAAGTCCTCTGTTATAAGGTCTTCTCATCCGACATCCGTAGTTGACCTCCACCTTACTCTTGGATGAGCTCTGTTATAAGGTCTTCTCATCCGACATCCGTAGTTGACCTCCACCTTACTCTTGGATGAGCTCTGTTATAAGGTCTTCTCATCCGACATCAGTAGTTGACCTCCACCCTACTGTTGGATGAGCTCTGTTATAAGGTCTTCTCATCCTACATCAGTAGTTGACCTCCACCCTACTCTTGGAAGTCCTCTGTTATAAGGTCTTTCCATCCAACATCAGTAAGAATAAACAACCAGCGCTCAAATCTTCATGCTCCACAGTGATACACGGTAGCTGTCACTTGCTGAGGTGCAGCCCTCTAAAGATCAGGGAATCTTGATACTACCAAAAGAAAAACACAAAAGGGTGCACTCCTCCTGTATTACCGTGATAAAAAATCTATTATTAAAAAAAGTAACAAGTGCATACTCACAAGCAAGGATCATAAAAACTGACGAGGTGTCAAATGTTTCAGTCCCAGATGGGGGTCCTATAGTGTGACTATTCGGTTGAAATTAACGCGTTTTGGGAGTTGAATTCCCTTCCTCAGGGCTGCAGCTACCAGACATACCAATGCGCCATACAAGGGGAGCAGAAGATGTAGATTGCATCACCACACCCCCTCCATGTGGGAATGGGCTTGGGCGGAGCCCACCAGGCACCGCCCAACTACCGAGCCCTACAGCTGTAAAGTGTGGAGATGTCAATCCATAGTACTGTGACCAATACGGTCCTCCTATACCCAAGTTCTGTAAGGTTGAAAAATACATATAAATGTATATATGGTGCGGTGGAGGACTTAGCAGCAATTCCACCAGGGGGGGGGGACAGGAGGAATAGTAGTTGTTGTTTGTCGGCTACATGGCGTCTTGGAAGGTATGGAGTGCAAGCCGTGTATTGGCCGTCTCTCCGGATGACTGGACGTAGATATCTGTTACCACACATGTGTACCTTTCCATGAATTCAGATGCACACGTGCCAAGTCATTCACTGCTCACAGGGAGCGCACCGGAACTACATCACATTGAGGGTGGAAGCACGCTAGGGATCGGGACCAAACTGGCAAGACTAGCGATTCCCTGGATGATGGGTGGATGAGCAGCAAGTGTCTAGGGCAGAAAAAAAAAACACACTTCCCGAGAACATCGTCCAATATCGGCACATGCCCTTCATCCTATGGAACACCTATGGCATGAGGATTTCTCACCCCCAAAGGTGTTCAGTAGGTGTGAGATCATGGAGGAGCTCAAATGTCCTGTACAGAGCCCTGACCTCAGCCCTACTGAACACCTCTGGGATGGATTAGAACCCCGATGGTGAGCCAGCTCTTCTCATCTGACATCAGTACCTGACCTCACACATGGGACAAATTCCCACAGACCCTCCAACATCTCATGGAAAGAGGGTCAGCTTCCTATTAACCCCTTCACGCCAACGTCACACAAATACGCGGCCTCACAGAACTGGGCCTTTTCCGTGGAGCCGCATATTTGTGTACCTGTCTTTGTGCCACACAGCGCTGCCAGCACAATGACCGCGGTGTCACTGAGAGCACCGGGTCCCGTTCTAACGATCTGGATCCGGGACTCCCGATTCCGGGTCACATGATCTGTGATAGCCTCTGATTGGCCATTGCAGTGATCAGTCACTGGACAGAACGCCCCCCCCCCCCCCCCTTGTTTTTTTTTTTCTCTGAATGGAGGAGGGAGATACATTCTATTATACATTGTATCATTATATACATCCTGTTATACATTGTATCATATACATCCTATTATACATTGTATCATTATATACATTCTATTATACTGCATCATTATATACATTCCATCATACATTGTATCATTATATATATCCTATTATACATTGTATCATTATATACATTATATTATACATTGTATCATTATATACATTCTATTATACATTGTATCATATACATCCTATTATACATTGTATCATTATATACATTCTATTATACATTGTATCATTATATACATCCCATTATACATTGTATCATTATATACATCTATTATACATTGTATCATTATATACATTCCATTATACATTGTATCATATACATCCTATTATACATTGTATCATTATATACATTCTATTATACATTGTATCATTATATACATCCCATTATACATTGTATCATTATATACATCTATTATACATTGTATCATTATATACATTCCATTATACATTGTATCATTATATACATCATATTATACATTGTATCATTATATACATCCCATTATACATTGTATCATTATATACATCCTGTTATACATTGTATCATTATATACATTCTATTATACATTGTATCATTATATACATTCTATTATACTGTACAATGTATATAATTATACAATGTATAATAGGATGTATATAATGATACAATGTATAATAGAATGTATATAATGATACAATGAATAATAGATGTATATAATGATACAATGTATAATGGAATGTATATAATGATACAATGTATAATGGAATGTATATAATGATACAATGTATAATTATACAATGTATATCCATTATACATTGTATCATTATATACATCCTATTATACATTGTATCATTATATACATCCTATTATACATTGTATCAATATATACATCCTATTATACATTGTATCATTATATACATCTATTATTCATTGTATCATTATATACATTCTATTATACATTGTATCATTATATACATCTATTATTCATTGTATCATTATATACATCTTATACATTGTATCATTATATACATCCTATTATACATTGTATCATTATATACATTCCATTATACATTGTATCATTATATACATCTATTATTCATTGTATCATTATATACATTCTATTATACATTGTATCATTATATACATCTATTATACATTGTATCATTATATACATCTATTATTCATTGTATCATTATATACATCTTATACATTGTATCATTATATACATCCTATTATACATTGTATCATTATATACATTCCATTATACATTGTATCATTATATACATCTATTATTCATTGTATCATTATATACATTCTATTATACATTGTATCATTATATACATTCTATTATACATTGTATCATTTTATATACATTCCATTATACATTGTATCATTATATACATTCCATTATACATTGTATCATTATATACATCCCATTATACATTGTATCATTATATACATCCCTATTATACATTGTATCATTATATACATCCTATTATACATTGTATCTCTCTCTCTCTCTTTGCACAGAGAAAAAAAAAACCTTAAAAAAAAGATAAATATTCTAAAAGAGAAAATCCGTGGATGAAGGTTTGATCTAGGTCAGTGCCAGGGTTAGTGTTTGGGTCAAAGGTCAGGATTGTTTTTGTTTTTTACATTATCAGTGTCAGTTAGTGTCGGTGTGTTTTAGGTACAAGAACCCCAAAATGCGCACGATTGTTCCTGGCCTGGCCTGCGGGTACAACAACAAATAACACACATAGATGGTGTCGCTGCGATCGTCAAGAGCTGGAGAATTTATTTCGGGTTGTTCTTTGGTGGTAGGATATGATAGTAACACGAAACACACAGCCAAATCGTAAAAAAAAAGAATTTATTTCATTTATTTATTTTTTTATATTTTGGCCAGTTTTCCTTTGATAATTAAAAAAAAAAAATCAGGAGCTCTCCATCACCATTTACCACGGAATGAAAGCCCAATTTGTCCTGAAGAAAAGGCGGTACCTTCACCCGGATGTACGAAGTAGGTGTGATGATCTGGACGGTCACTAACACAGGTCAACGTTGTAAAATTGTGCTTGGGCATTAGGATTTGTTTTACCCTTCGGCGTGAAGGGGGCAATGGACATGGGGGGGATGGGAACAACTCCATATAACTGGCCCTGGTTTTGGAAGGGGATGCCCAATAGGTGTGATGGTCGGGTGTCCACCTACTGTTGGTGATATGGAGGATAATCTTCTGGTCAGATATTAATCTTCCAGACTATTCATGGGAGTGTGCCCCCCTCCCCCTCATTTTCTGGTACAGGACACTCCCCGCTGAGAACTTGTGGTTCTTACTGTGAAGTGTTTTGGAGGATGGTGACACCTGACTGGTCGTGTTTTGTAGCTTTTTCTGGTGTAGATCCCTTTTTCACATCTATATTGATGGGTTTGTAAAACAAAATGAAATTGAAAAGCAACCAGATTGCTGGGAGTGTGGAACCTACTTGGATCAGGTCTGATGCACCTACCTGACTTCTGAGTCCTGGGGGGTCTAAAACTGAGCCAATAGCCCGTTGACTGAGGCCCGAATGTTCAGTTATGTGCCGTCCTTCATGACATAATTCCTCTTCTCCTCTCTGTAGGGCAAAGACCTGACGGCACAGAAGATCCCCTCCTGGCAACAGGCCTCCTCCGACCCGAGCAAGATCCCAGACAGGGCCATCCAGATCATGCAGCAGATGGCTGGTGGACCCAACGGCACCATCATGGCGGGTCCACTGTCTGGGCCTATGACCAATTCCAAATCTAGCCTATCCATATCAGACCCAATCCCTGGTGCCAAGCCACTGCCGGTGCCTCCAGAGCTGGCTCCTTTTGTTGGGGTATGTATTTCATTGATGTGTATATTGGAAGGTATTTAGGCCTCCTGTCCCAGCCTTGCTACGTAAGAAGGACCCCCAGTCCTCAACACTGGACCACCTTCCACCAATACTTGTTCCACATGACCACAGGAATACATGAAAAGGAAAGATTCTTTATAGCTTTTGTAGGAATTGAATATTAAAATGTAGACTAGAGTCCCCCAGACACCCCTTCCCTTAGTCTGGCCATACACGTCACAATCTGTCGTCTTTTAGATTTCCCATACTCTGTATAAAGCAATAAATACGGAATTCTGAGTCAGAGAAAATGTTCCCCCAATTTGGAGTCTCGGCGCCCCCAAGTTCATGGGGTGGATTTTGTAAAGGGACGCCGGCTCCACCTTGCATGACTTGAGCTCTCTTACCTCCACAGAGGATGTCGGCACAGGAGGGCGCACCCATTATGAATGGGGTCTTGGGGCCACCCCCCAACAGCTACGACCATTGGGACATGAAGCCCAAAGTGTCCCCGTCCCAGCCACACAAGCAGATCAGCGACTCCTATTCCAACACCCTTCCAGCCCGCAAGAGTGTCCCACCCAAAAACAGCTACACGGTCGGTAAGTGTCCCACCCAAAAACAGCTACACGGTCGGTAAGTGTCCCACCCAAAAACGGCTACATGGTCGGTAAGTGTCCCACCCAAAAACAGCTACACGGTCGGTAAGTGTCCCACCCAAAAACAGCTACATGGTTGGTGAGTGTCCCACCCAAAAACGGCTACACGGTCGGTGAGTGTCCCACCCAAAAACGGCTACACGGTCGGTGAGTGTCCCACCCAAAAACGGCTACACGGTCGGTGAGTGTCCCACCCAAAAACGGCTACACGGTCGGTGAGTGTCCCACCCAAAAACGGCTACACGGTCGGGGAGTGTCCCACCCAAAAACGGCTACACGGTCGGTGAGTGTCCCACCCAAAAACGGCTACACGGTCGGTGAGTGTCCCACCCAAAAACGGCTACACGGTCGGTGAGTGTCCCACCCAAAAACGGCTACACGGTCGGTGAGTGTCCCACCCAAAAACGGCTACACGGTCGGTGAGTGTCCCACCCAAAAACGGCTACACGGTCGGTGAGTGTCCCACCCAAAAACGGCTTCGCGGTCGGTGAGTGTCCCACCCAAAAACGGCTACGCGGTCGGTGAGTGTCCCACCCAAAAACGGCTACGCGGTCGGTGAGTGTCCCACCCAAAAACGGCTACACGGTCGGTGAGTGTCCCACCCAAAAACGGCTACACGGTCGGTGAGTGTCCCACCCAAAAACGGCTACACGGTCGGTGAGTGTCCCACCCAAAAACGGCTACACGGTCGGTGAGTGTCCCACCCAAAAACGGCTTCGCGGTCGGTGAGTGTCCCACCCAAAAACGGCTACGCGGTCGGTGAGTGTCCCACCCAAAAACGGCTACGCGGTCGGTGAGTGTCCCACCCAAAAACGGCTACACGGTCGGTGAGTGTCCCACCCAAAAACGGCTTTTCACGGTCGGTGAGTGTCCCACCCAAAAACGGCTTCACGGTCGGTGAGTGTCCCACCCAAAAATGGCTTCACAGTCGGTGAGTGTCCCACCCAAAAACGGCTTCATAGTCGGTGAGTGTCCGTGTGCCCTCAATTATTTATTCCAGGATGGGTCAATGTAACAAAAATGATCTGAAATTCTTCATTCCATTCCAAGAAAGGCTTCGTTATATTTCAGAAGCCGGATCTTCACCAATTCTCGCTGCCATGTTTCTGTTGTGGGTGCAGTGGAGGAGGAATTGGTTGGCCTCCCAGCCTCAGTATGGATGAGATGGTCCAGAGGTTGGCTGAAGGCAGAGCTACCTTGATATTGGCCTTTGTTCCCAGAGGGATGGGGATACCAGCAGCCTCCATGGAGACCTCTTAGGCCAGTGACAACAGTAGCTCACATTTCTATGTACTGTGAGACCTGGAAACCATTGAAGACCTGGCAATGCATAGAACCTCAATAAAGATGGAGGAAACGATTTTGGGAAGGGATTCAAACGAGGAATTCCAGGTGTGGATATTATGAGTTACATTGTTCCAGCATGGAGCGTAGATCCCGTAGCGGGGAATCCCTCTAGAAGCTGGAAATCGCTGTAGGCGCGAGGGATGCGCTGATATCAGGTTATCAGCGAATATCAGTGCTTTGCGGTGCGATTACACGTTAGTGGACACATTGTACCACAAAGAATAGCATGCGATTCCTGTCCACACCGCATGCGGGTCCCCCACCGCTTCTGTGTGAATCCAGCTGCTGACCAATCAAATGCCACCTAGCCCGACGTGTCATCGCTGCAAGGAGAGGAAAGAGAGCGGCTTCACAGGTCCGGGGATTTCAGATCTCCCACCACTGACACCAAGCATGGGATGCCTGCAGGGAGGTTTCCCACACCGCTCCCGTGTGATCCTGTGTGATCCTGTGTGATCTCGTGTGATCCTGTGTGATCCCGTGTGACCTCGTGTGATCCCGTGTGACCTCGTGTGATCCTGTGTGATCCCGTGTGATCCTGTGTGACCTTGTGTGATCTCGTGTGATCCTGTGTGACCTCGTGTGACCCCGTGTGATCTTGTGTGATCCCGTGTGACCTCGTGTGATCCCGTGTGACCTTGTGTGACCCTGTGTGACCTCGTGTGATCCTGTGTGATTTAGTGTGATCCTGTGTGACCCCGTGTGATCCTGTGTGACCCCGTGTGATCCTGTGTGATCTCGTGTGATCCTGTGTGATACTGTGTGACCTCGTGTGATCCTGTGTGACCTCGTGTGATCCCGTGTGACCTCGTGTGATCTCTGGGTGTGACAAGTCTGGGCTCACACCGGAGCAGTGAGGAAATTGCATGCTAATGTTTGCATCCATTAATGCAAATCACAAGGAAAGTATCGGTAGGATCTTCACTCATGAATATACTTGGTAACGGCAACATCCCTAATAGGCACCGCTACTACTATGCTGCTACTACATCACTACTACACCATTACTGCACTGCTACTACATCACTACTACACCATTACTACACTGCTACTACGCCACTACTACACTGCTACTACTCCATTACTACAGTGCTACTACATCACTACTACACCATTACTACACTGCTACTACACTGCTACTACTCCTCTACTACACTGCTACTACTCCATTACTACAGTGCTACTACATCACTACTACACTGCTACTACTCCTCTACTACACTGCTACTACTCCATTACTACACTGCTACTACTCCATTACTACACTGCTACTACTCCATTACTACAGTGCTACTACGCCACTACTACACTGCTACTACTCCTCTGCTACTACGCCACTACTACACTGCTACTACTCCTCTACTACACTGCTACTACTCCTCTACTACACTGCTACTACTACACTGCTACTACTCCTCTACTACACTGCTACTACTCCTCTACAACACTGCTACTACGCCACTAATACACTGCTACTACTCCTCTACTACACTGCTACTACTCCATTACTACACTGCTACTACTCCATTACTACACTGCTACTACTCCATTACTACAGTGCTACTACGCCACTGCTACTACTCCTCTGCTACTACGCCACTACTACACTGCTACTACTCCTCTACTACACTGCTACTACTCCTCTACTACACTGCTACTACTACACTGCTACTACTCCTCTACTACACTGCTACTACTCCTCTACTACACTGCTACTACGCCACTAATACACTGCTACTACTCCTCTACTACACTGCTACTACTACACTGCTACTACTCCTCTACTACACTGCTACTACTCCTCTACTACACTGCTACTACGCCACTAATACACTGCTACTACACCATTACTACAGTGCTACTACACTGCTACTAATCCTCTACTACACTGCTACTACACCATTACTACACTGCTACTACACTGCTACTACTTCTCTACTACACTGCTACTACACCATTACTACACTGCTACTACTCCTCTACTACACTGCTACTACTACTCTACTACACTGCTACTACACCATTACTACACTGCTACTACTCCTCTACTACACTGCTACTACACCATTACTACAGTGCTACTACGCCACTACTACACTGCTACTACTCCTCTACTACACTGCTACTACTCCTCTACTACACTGCTACTACACCATTACTACAGTGCTACTACTCCTCTACCACACTGTTACTACACCATTACGACACTGCTACTACATCACTACTACACTGCTACTACATCACTACTACACCATTACTACACTGCTACTACGCCTCTACTACATCACTACTACACTGCTACTACATCACTACTACACTGCTACTACATCACTACTACATCACTACTACACTGCTACTACATCACTACTACATCACTACTACACTGCTACTACATCACTACTACATCACTACTACACCATTACTACGCTGCTACTACATCACTACTATAGCTTCCGGGTCCTATGCGGAGTGGCTGCGCTGCGGCATTGTGGACACAGGAGGTCGCTCGCTCGGCATCACTCAGAGATCACAGAAGGTAAATCCATTCTGAGGACAAGGAGGAGATGATGACATCACAGCCCCACCTCTCCACTTTGTCCAATCAGAAAACACAAAGTGATCTGTGAATGGCAGCCATGCTGGGGAAGGAAGATCCTGCGATCGCAGGGCAGCCGCTGAGCACAGAGGGGATCACTGTAGTAGCGGTGTAGTAGCTGTGCCTGTGTAGTAATTACCACCTTCCAGGGACATTGGCCCTCTGGTATCCATACCTGGAATTCTTGAGGCTGTGAGCGCAGACAGTTTTTGTTTCAGCCAGTGGGGCCGGCTGAGCGGTGCTGGGTATATTCATAGATCGCTCAGGATCCATTCTCACTTCTGCTTGTGTTTCCCGGACAGCAGAGAACAAGACGCTGCCGCGCTCCAGCTCCATGGCGGCCGGCCTAGAGAAGAACAGCAGGACGCGGGTGCAAGCCATCTTCTCCCACTCCGCCGGAGACAACACCACCCTGCTCAGCTTCAGCAATGGCGACTACATCACCCTGCTGGTCCCCGAGGCCAGGGATGGCTGGCACTACGGAGAGAGCGAGAAGACCAAGATGTAAGTGGCCCCCAGCTTCACTACGACAGTCCGGGGTTCAATATGGGGAGTCCTAGAAAGGACAACTCTTCTCCAGCTTCCTCTCGTACTTCCTCCTGTACTTCCTCTCGTACTTCCTCTCGTACTTCCTCTCGTACTTCCTCCTGTACTTCCTCCCGTACTTCCTCTGGTATCTGGTACTTCCTCCCATACTTCCTCTGGTATCTGGTACTTCCTTTCATACTTCCTCTGGTATCTGGTACTTCCTCTCGTACTTCCTCCTGTACTTCCTCTCATACTTCCTCTTGTACTTCCTCTGGTATCTGGTACTTCCTCTCATACTTCCTCCGGTATCTGGTACTTCCTCTGGTATCTGGTACTTCCTCTCATACTTCCTCTGGTATCTGGTACTTCCTCTGGTATCTGGTACTTCCTCTGGTATCTGGTACTTCCTCCCATACTTCCTCTGGTATCTGGTACTTCCTCTGGTATCTGGTACTTCCTTTCATACTTCCTCTGGTATCTGGTACTTCCTCTGGTATCTGGTACTTCCTCTCGTACTTCCTCCTGTACTTCCTCTCGTACTTCCTCTGGTACTTCCTCTGGTATCTGGTACTTCCTCTCATACTTCCTTCGGTATCTGGTACTTCCTCTGGTATCTGGTACTTCCTCTCATACTTCCTCTGGTATCTGGTACTTCCTCTGGTATCTGGTACTTCCTCTGGTATCTGGTACTTCCTCTGGTATCTGGTACTTCCTCTCTTACTTCCTCTGGTATCTGGTACTTCCTCTGGTATCTGGTACTTCCTCTCGTACTTCCTCTGGTATCTGGTACTTCCTCTCGTACTTCCTCTAGAACTGGTACTTCCTCTGGTATCTGGTACTTCCTCTCGTACTTCCTCTGGTATCTGGTACTTCCTCTCGTACTTCCTCTGGTATCTGGTATTTCCTCTGGTACTTCCTCTGGTATCTATCTGGTATTTTCCTCTCGTACTTCCTCTGGTATCTGGTACTTCCTCTGGTATCTGGTACTTTCTCTCGTACTTCCTCTGGTATGTGGTACTTCCTCTGGTATCTGGTATTTCCTCTCGTACTTCCTGTGGTATCTGGTACTTCCTCTGGTATCTGGTACTTTATCTGGTACTTCCTCTGGTATCTGGTACTTCCTCTGGTATCTGGTATTTCCTCTCGTGTTTCCTCTGGTATCTGGTACTTCCTCTGTTACTTCCTCTGGTACTTCCTCTGGTATCTGGTACTTCCTCTCATACTTCCTCCCGTATCTGGTACTTCCTCAGGTATCTGGTACTTCCTCTCGTACTTCCTCTGGTATCTGGTACTTCCTCCCGTATCTGGTACTTCCTCTCGTACTTCCTCCCGTACTTCCTCTGGTATCTGGTACTTCCTCTGGTATCTGGTACTTCCTCTGGTATCTGGTACTTCCTCTGGTTTCTGGTACTTCCTCTCATTCTTCCTCTGGTATCTGGTACTTCCTCTGGTATCGGATACTTCCTCTCCTACTTCCTCTGGTACTTCCTTTGGTATCTGGTACTTCCTCTGGTTTCTGGTACTTCCTCTGGTTTCTGGTACTTCCTCTCATTCTTCCTCTGGTACTTCCTCTGGTATCTGGTACTTCCTCTGGTTTCTGGTACTTCCTCTCATTCTTCCTCTGGTACTTCCTCCCGTACTTCCTCTGGTATCTGGTACTTCCTCTCCTACTTCCTCTGGTACTTCCTCTGGTACTTACTTTGGTATCTGGTACTTCCTCTCGTACTTCCTCCCATACTTCCTCTGGTATCTGGTACTTCCTCCCGTACTTCCTCTGGTATCTGGTACTTCCTCTTGTACTTCCTCTGGTATCTGGTACTTCCTCTCGTACTTTCTCTGGTATCTGGTACTTCCTCGTACTTCCTCTGGTACTTCCTCTGGTATCTGGTACTTCCTCCCGTACTTCCTCTCGTACTTCCTCTGGTACTTCCTCTGGTACTTCCTCTCGTACTTCCTCTCGTACTTCCTCTGGTACTTCCTCTGGTACTTCCTCTGGTTTCTGGTACTTCCTCTCGTACTTCCTCTGGTACTTCCTCTGGTATCTGGTACTTCCTCTCGTACTTTCTCTGGTACTGGCCACATATCCAGACGCTTAGGCGGGGGGAAATTGGAGAGGGGGGTATAGAGATTGAGTTTGGGGAGGGGGGGGGGCGGGTGTCATGTGGTTGGTAAAGATCAATGCTATCACCCTAATCAATGTTCCTGCTACAGACTGCTGAGATCTGAGGGCCACACATCGTATACTGAAGGGCCGCAATCTGATTGGACAATCTCCTTCTGCCATTATCTATGTGGGACAGGTCTGGCAGATTTGATGCCGATGGAATGCAGAGATTGCTCCACGTATTCTATAGATTTGGAAGCTAAAAGATCATCCAATCAGATTGTAGAATGGTGAGATACAAACCCAGTGCTCCTCCCCCTGAATGTAAAGTGGTTGTAACCATTCAAAGCTTTCTTTTACTTTGGGGCCACTGCAATCCAGCGGCCTCAGCCCTCCAGGGACTCCCCTGAGACATCCATTGGCTCCCATTCCTATCAGTCACAGCCAGTGAGGGAGGAGTGGGGGCGGAGCTGCTCTGTGTGTGAATAGACATGCAGAGCAGCGGCTCGGGAGCAACCCTACTTGGGTGCCCCCATATCAAGCTGCTTGCTGTGGGGACACTGGGCAGAAAGAAGAGGCGGATCGGGGCCCCTGTGTACAATATCATTACAGAGCGGGGAAGTATGGCGGGTTTGCTATGTAAAGTGATATTAACGCCCGCGGGGACAAGTGCCGGGATATACAGACCAACCTCAGAGAGAGAATCCGGCACCAACGCCACCGATCATTCAATCCTTCAAACTTTATTACCTCTCTAGAGATTGTACAATGTATGGCCAGCTTGGGGCCCACCAAGATTTGGGATCCGGCACAGGGCACCCCGCCTTTCTGATCAAATGTGGGGGCCGACAGCGGGGTCCCTTCAGACAGCGGGGTCCCTTCAGACAGCGGGGTCCCTTCAGACAGCGGGGTCCCTTCAGACAGCGGGGTCCCTGCAGACAGCGGGGTCCCTGCAGACAGCGGGGTCCCTTCAGACGGCGGGGTCATTCAGAGGAATTTCTTAGACAACAATCCAACCCGATCATTGCCGGACCTGGTGCCTGAATGTGAAAAGTCACTGACGTCACGCCGCTGTCTTGTGTCTTGCAGGAGGGGATGGTTCCCGTTCTCGTACACGCGGGTGGTGGATGGACGGGACGCCGGTAACCGCACTCAGACGTAAGTAACCGAACATTTGTGTCTCCCCCCCCCAACGCCACGCTTGTGTCTACCCCCCCCCCAACACCATGTTTGTGTCTACACCCCCCCCAACGCCACGCTTGTGTCTACCCCCCCAACGCCACGCTTGTGTCTACCCCCCCCCCCCCCCCCCCAACACGCCATGTTTGTGTCTACCCCCCCCCCCAACGCCATGTTTGTGTCTACCCCCCCAACGCCATGTTTGTGTCTACCCCCCCCAACGCCATGTTTGTGTCTACCCCCCCAACGCCATGTTTGTGTCTACCCCCCCAACGCCATGTTTGTGTCTACCCCCCCCCCCCACGCCATGTTTGTGTCTACCCCCCCCCCCACGCCATGTTTGTGTCTACCCCCCCCCCACGCCATGTTTGTGTCTACCCCCCCCCCACGCCATGTTTGTGTCTACCCCCCCCCCCCACGCGCCATGTTTGTGTCTACCCCCCCCCCCCCACGCCATGTTTGTGTCTACCCCCCCCCCCACGCCATGTTTGTGTCTACCCCCCCAACGCCATGTTTGTGTCTACCCCCCCCCCCCCACGCCATGTTTGTGTCTACCCCCCCCCACGCCATGTTTGTGTCTACCCCCCCAACTCCATGTTTGTGTCTACCCCCCCAACGCCATGTTTGTGTCTACCCCCCCAACGCCATGTTTGTGTCTACCCCCCCCCCCACGCCATGTTTGTGTCTACCCCCCCCCCCACGCCATGTTTGTGTCTACCCCCCCCCCACGCCATGTTTGTGTCTACCCCCCCAACGCCATGTTTGTGTCTACCCCCCCCCCACGCCATGTTTGTGTCTACCCCCCCAACGCCATGTTTGTGTCTACCCCCCCCCCCCCCCCACGCCATGTTTGTGTCTACCCCCCCCCCCCCACGCCATGTTTGTGTCTACCCCCCCAACTCCATGTTTGTGTCTACCCCCCCCCCCCCCAACTCCATGTTTGTGTCTACCCCCCCCCCCCACCCCATGTTTGTGTCTACTCCCCCCAACGCCATGTTTGTGTCTTCCCCCCCCCCCAACGCCATGTTTGTGTCTTCCCCCCCCCCCCCCCCCAACGCCTGTTTGTGTCTTCCCCCCCCCCCAACGCCATGTTTGTGTCTTCCCCCCCCCCCCCCAACGCCATGTTTGTATCTCCCCTCCCCCCCCCCCAACGCCACGTTTGTGTCTCCCCCCCCCCCCCCCCCCCCCCCCCTTGCAACGCCACGCTTGTGTCTACCCCCCCAACGCCACGCTTGTGTCTACCCCCCCAACGCCACGCTTGAGTCTACCCCCCCAACGCCACGCTTGAGTCTACCCCCCCAACCTTCCATGTTTGTGTCTACCCCCCCAACGCCATGTTTGTGTCTACCCCCCCAACGCCATGTTTGTGTCTACCCCCCCCCCCCCATACACGCCATGTTTGTGTCTACCCCCCCCCCACGCCATGTTTGTGTCTACCCCCCCCCCACGCCATGTTTGTGTCTACCCCCCCCCCCACGCCATGTTTGTGTCTACCCCCCCCCCCACGCCATGTTTGGTGTCTACCCCCCCAACGCCATGTTTGTGTCTACCCCCCCCCCCCCCACGCCATGTTTGTGTCTACCCCCCCCCCCACGCCATGTTTGTGTCTACCCCCCCCAACTCCATGTTTGTGTCTACCCCCCCCCCCCCTCTGCGGAACTCCATGTTTGTGTCTACCCCCATCCCCCCCACCCCATGTTTGTGTCTACTCCCCCCAACGCCATGTTTGTGTCTTCCCCCCCCCCCAACGCCATGTTTTGTGTCTTCCCCCCCCCCCCCCCCAACGCCATGTTTGTGTCTTCCCCCCCCCCCAACGCCATGTTTGTGTCTTCCCCCCCCCCCCCCCCCAACGCCATGTTTGTATCTCCCCCTCCCCCCCCCCAACGCCACGTTTGTGTCTCCCCCCCCCCCCCCCCCGCGCAACGCCACGCTTGTGTCTACCCCCCCAACGCCACGCTTGTGTCTACCCCCCCAACGCCAACGCTTGAGTCTACCCCCCCAACGCCACGCTTGTGTCTACCCCCCCCCAACGCCACGCTTGTGTCTACCCCCCCCAACGCCACGCTTGTGTCTACCCCCCCCAACGCCACGCTTGTGTCTACCCCCCCCAATGCCACGCTTGTGTCTACACCCCCCCCCCCCAACGCCATGTTTGTGTCTACCCCCCCCCCCCCCAAAGCCATGTTTTTGCATTCTATACCCCCCCCCACACACACTCCATGATCGATTTATTCCTCAAATCCCCTGAGCAGACGAGCAACTGTGGATCATGAAGCCGCCTGGCTCTTGTGATGAGCATTAGATAGTGCGTGTACGTGTGTGTGCGGGGGGGGGGAGATGGGATGGGGGGGAGATGGGATGGGGGGGGGGTAGTACAACCCCCACCCGGCCGGCACCGACAATGTGCCATGAGTATTGAAGTGATGAAGATAGAACCTCCATAGGATTTGCAGCGGCGGCATTAATATGTATTGGACCCTTGAAGGAACATAAGAGGGGGAGGGGCTCCTTCTCCGTGGGTCAGAACACATCGGGGAGATGTACTACAACTGGAGCACTCAGAATCTGGGGCAGCCAATCCGCTTCCATGAAGCTTTGAAGTCAAACTGGAAGCTGATTGGTTCCTCTGCAGAGCTGCACCGGATTCTGCCCTCCCCAGTTTTTGGTAAAATGACCCCCCATGGTGTCCACACAAGAACTCCCAAGTCCCAGAATTCAGTAAAAGGGAGGAAGTGCCGATCCGAAGGACTCACAATAGCAGAGCTCAGAAATATCTTCTGTCTAGATCCAGTAACAGATATATTTATATAATGCTTGCTCGGTGTGTTGTATGGTGCCCCTCCCAGGAGCAAACCGCCAAATGCAAAGAAATGGCTATCTTAGCGCCATCCATATATCCCCCCCCAGGCCTCCTAAGGACCACCTACTGGGCTAGAAGGAGGAGACGACAAGTGCAGTTAATATTGGCGCCGGTCCTCCTCCAAAGCAAGCCTGGGAATAATAGGTCCCGTAATCTCCCCCACTAGCACCTCCAGGAAAGGGAATGCCGTACTCCTCCCACCCTGGAATGCTCCAGATATGAGGGGCGATATCCGGGCGACTTCCTCTCCCATCAAGGTGTTCCACATTGGACACCAGAAGATGGAGAACCGAGTGTAGAGTCGTTGGGCGGCTGTCCCTCCTCCCCAGCCTGAAGCTGCCGCTGGGGAGATCTCATGACGGGACGGAGAGAAGAGGTAAGTACCTCTTTTCTTTGCAGCATGGGGCTGGGCATGGGGTGTGGCCTGGGAATGGGGTGGGGTGTGGCTGGGAATGGGGTGTGGCTGGGAATGGGGTGGGGTGTGGCTAGGAATGGGTGTGGCTGGGAATGGGGTGTGGCTGGGAATGAGGTGGGCTGGGAATGGGGTGGGGTGTAGTGGCTGGGAATGGGGTGGGGCTGGGAATGGGTGGGGTGTGGCTGGGAATGGGGTGGGGTGTGGCTGGGAATTGGGGTGGGGCTGGGAATGGGTGTGTGGCTGGGAATGGGGTGTGGCTGGAATGGGGTGGGGTGTGGCTGGGAATGGGGTGTGGCTGGGAAGGGGTGGGGCTGGGAATGGGGGCTTGTGGCTGGGAATGGGGTGTGGCTGGGAATGGGGTGGGGTGTGGCTGGGAATGGGTGGTGGCTGGGAATGAGGTGGGGGTGGGTTTCCTCTCGGACTTCCACTTTAGATGTCTATGTTGAGGTCCTTCCTCACCGATCTCTTGTTTCCTCGCAGCTTACAGCCTGGAAAAAGCAGCAGCACCGCAAACCTTCTGGAC